ATGCCCGCTTTGTTCCTGAAGCTGGGCGAGTTGTCGTTGCCAACCAGTGGCCTCATGGAATTGTCGCTATCGACAAACACGCCCTGGTTGTTTGGGAAATGGGCCTTTGGGAATTTCCTGTGGGGTGACAGCGCTCTTATTGGAATCGTGAATCAGGCCTCCAAGTTTCTTCCAGGAGTGGTGTTGGACTAAAGCAGGGTTTCCTCCATTTCCCTTCTTGGAATCTCGAAAAGTGGCGAACTCGCTGGTGACTTGCACCGCTTGAAGGGGAAATCCAGTGACTTGCACGCCCTGTAAAAATCCATGTTCCATGACTGCTTTCATGTGCTTCAGCGTATTTTCGGTTTTTCCCTGTTGGTTCTTCAAGGGAATCGATTTCGCTACCTATCACTACCGAACATATTCTTCTTACGGACATATTCTTCTGTTTTCCGTTTATTCAGCTCCCTTTCTGTTCTGGAGGCACAGAGGCCGTGCTGGTGACCAGCCCGAACCACGGTGACATCCAGGCCGAATCGGTTCTTGAAGATTCTGAGTCGACACGGTTTGGCCGTGAGAGTCGCATTTGTGCCTGCGAGTTGGATCGTTGCCCTTGAATCCATTTTGAGCTGCCACATTGGTTGACAGTTGTCTTCAAATTTCAAGAGGGGTTCCTTCACTGCCAAAATGCCCATTTTGGCAATCTGGATCTTTCAGGGTGCCAGATGTTTGTGTTCCTCACCTCGATGGTTTCACTGTTAAAATGCCGAAACGTAAAAACCAAATCGGGTGCTCGGTGTTCTGGTGTTGTTGTGTCTGTTGTTTTAGCTTTGCTAAGGGGAAGACCAGACGGTCAACCCCAGTGTTGGGACCGAATCGGGTGCTCGATGTTTTGCTTTCTCTCGTTTCCACCATCTTTGGGGAGCGAATCTGACGCTCGACCGATCAACCCGCATTGACCCCATTGGGCTGTGGGTCAAAAATAGGTTCCATCCATATTGAATTTTGGTGAATGCAAACCTGGACCAAACGCCTGAGGTGCAATCCCTGGTGGTGACCAATTTTGACCCATTCCCGTTTAGGGCCCCGGGCCCCCAGTTTTGACCATGGGAAACGCTTGCCCCCAGCTGTTTTCCCTCCCGAATGCTCATGCGTTTAAAGGACCCTTTGACTCGAAAAATCGCTCCCCGGATGCATCAACTCGACTCTCGACGGATCGGATTTCCGGGCAGGCGCATTTGAACGCACTGCTGGAGGCGGTGGTGGTGGCCGCTTGCAGCACACCGGCCGTTTGGCGCGGCAGCCCGGACTGTCGGCGACGCTTGCGACGCTTGCTTCGGCGTTCGCTTGCATTTGTTCGTGTGTTTTGTTTGTTTGTTTGTTTGTTCGTTCGTTCATCCATCCATCCATCCATCCATCCATCCATCCATCCATCCATCCATCCATCCATCCATCCATCCATCCATCCATCCATCCATCCATCCATCCATCCATCCATCCAGATTTTGTTGTTCCCCAGATAGCTGAAAGCTATAGGGGTTCTAACTTCTAGTAAAGAAAGTGATTTGCGAGATTGACAGCTGGGTGCTGATGGTGTGCTGTTTGGGGTGCTGGTGTAGGTGCTGTTTCGGGTGCTGTTTGAGCTGCTGGTGACGGCGCGGGCACATGTGGCGAGATTGACGGTTGGATGTGCAGGTGACATTGATGGCGCACTTTTGTAAGATTGACGGTAGGGTGCCAGAGCAGTCTGAGTCTGGGGTGCTGGCGAAGGCATTGGGGTGCTGTTTTGGGATGCTGTTTCAGTGGTGCAGGCTCTTTTTTGCGAGATTCGGGTGCTGCTGTTCGGGGTGCTGCCGCGGGTGCAATTTTGCGATTGATGGGGTGGGGGATGCAGGGTGCTAGTGCACCCCTGCCGCGCGCGATTGACGCGGGGCTAGGAGGCATGCAGTTTGGCGCAGGTGCTGTTTTGGTCTGGGGTCTTTGCTAATGTATATGTTTTATTTGTGTTGTCATTGTAATTGTTGTACTTGTTTTATGTAAATATGGTTTCCGTATATGTATATACATATAGTATAATAACAAATGTATGCATGCAACTCAACGTTTACATTTATATAGATTGGTTGCGTCTATACTTTTCCCTCCTTTCGCCATGGAACCCGGGAGACCAGGTTTCTTGAATCAATCTCTGGCTGGTTCCACTGGTGGTCTGTTGGGTAAGAGAACACAATTTTCCTTCGGAAAGGAAGGAGGGAAAGAAAGGCATGGGGGGATTTGCGCCATCTCCCCTCCACTTTAACCCAGTGCGGGTGAGCGGGCTGTGAGGTGTTGCCCGAAAAGGAAGGCTCAGGCTCCCCTCAGTTGGTGATTTGCATTTGGTTGTTCGGGGATTTGAACCTCTGGTTCTTGTAAAGGGCACATAGGAACCACCTCCTTAACCAAAACCACCAATGGGAAGCTGAAGGACTGTCATATTGGGGGCCCCCCCTTGACGCGCGCGCGTTGCCCGAGGCTCCCAAGCCCAGCAACTCGGCGAGAGAAGCCGTCGCTGGGGCGCTGGGTCGCTGGGCCGGCCTTGGCTCCTTTCGGTTCCAAAAGCCTCCAGCTCTTTGAGTCTTGCATTCAGTTGCCCGTAGGTTGTGTCGGTTGTTTCTGGAAATCCGATTGTGCCGTTTGCTTCCTCAGCTTTCAATCTAGATGAGCCAAGGCTGAAGCAACTGGCATTGTTCCGTGACCAAGTGCTTTTACCTCTCTAAGAGGGAATTGGGGGAAACCGTCAGTCAGCATTTTCAACTGCTTGCCAAGAAGGGTAATCATGCTTCACTTCTTGGGAGGATCAAGCATCGCACGTTCACGACCACCTCAAGGGTTCCACCTCAATAGCGCAATTGCATAGGAAACATGACATACAGGGACCAATGACATACAAGGACCCCTGGCTCACTATGCTTGCAACTGGAAGCAAGTTGGAGTCGATAACCTTTTCAAGCGCTTGCAGGCAGATTCCGAGACGAGCGCGCGGGACAAAGGCGCATATCGAGAGAAGCTTGGGACAAAGCCGCCGACAGAACACCAACTACTTGGATTGTCAGGATCACCTGTTTGACTGTTGTTTACCGTGTTCATTTTCTGAAAGAAGGCTTTTGTTGCAGTAGTTTTGGAAAATAGCGGAGTCAATCGGTGAGCAACTGTGGTCGTGGGCTTATAGATGTGTGTCAAGCCAAGCAAAAAGGCCCCCGTCGTCACGTGTTGCTAGCTTTGCTTGGTTGCCAAAAGTGGGGTCCAACCTCTTTTTCACACCCCTAGATGGCTATGTGTTTTGTGTGATCGCAGAACGGCTTATGTTCCGCCACGGCTCACCCACTGCGCTTGGGGTTTACCCACATCCCGCATGTCAGGCAAGGGATTCGTGTAGTGAAAACCTCGGAGTTGGGCTGCAGACCAAAGGATGGACCCAGCTGCTGCTGGCAGTCCAAAGCGAATCGGCATTTTTTGTTGGTTTTCCAGAACTTGGCTCCAAAACTCGGTGGTTCCCAGCCATCCGGTTCCTTCGCTGTTTAGCTTTTTAGGACTTACTGGGAGTTTGCATTCAACCCGAGCCAAAAGTTAGACTTTTAGCAGGGGATCCGAGGACAGCCCAGACAAGGTGAGTAGCTTTTGTGTCCAGGTCTCTTGGGCCAGTGAGCATCAAGCTGGGCAAGGGTCTTGATTTCCCAAAGGCTGTCTACCTTGGGCGAGTCAAAACGAGCCCAGAGCTCCGGGGCTTCCTTCCAACCATTCTTTCTATCCATCCTTGTTTCAAACCGGCTGTTCCTCCTGGGGTTTTTAGAGGCTTTCCTGAAGACTCACTTCCTGAGTTCCTGGACTTCAGTTACTTTCTGGAAGACAAGTTTAGTGGCAAATAGAAAGTTTGGATACCTTTTTTGGGCCATCCACTCGGAAAGTGAGGGAAAGAAGGATTGAAAAGAAGGATCCCCTGCAGCTTTGAGGCTGTTCCGATTTTTCTTTGTGGGTTTGGAGGGTCCCTGAAAAGAAGGATCCCTTCAAAAGAATGGGCACGGAAGCTCCCCCCCGACGTTTTGCCAGATGCCAACGCGGCGCTCCAGCGCTTTCTGGCGCGATCTGCCAGCTACCGAGTGGCTGTCCGACGGCCCAGTGAGTCGTTTTGGAGCGGGTTGGACCTCTCAGGATGTGGATCCGCAACGAACGGACCTTCGAGCTTCTCTCACAATCCTTTGGTGCATTTTGCCAAGGGATGTTAGGACTTTAACTTTTTGCCAACTAATGAGTTTTCCATTGAACCACTAAAAGTTGAACTTTTAGCAGGGGAGCAGAAAGCAAACGAGTATCCCTAGATGAGTTTTACATGGAGCGAGGCAGAACGCGGCCTCCGTGTTTTTGCATGCCTGAGCTGGATTTCCAACGGAATGATTCTCATTCTCAGGGATATGGCCATGGTTCAAAACCAATGGGATCCCATTTTGGGATAGGTGCACCACGCATTTTAGAACCTGTTAAAGTGGTTGGATTGAGATGTTTACTGGGGGAAAAGGGATTTGGACCCACATCCACATATGGCTGTGGCTCCAAAACACGGAGACCGGAAATGGCACCATAAGGTAAATGGAACCAAGAACCAATTCATTTTGAGCCACACCCGGAATCGCGCAGACCGTAGAACGGCTTTCCTCTTGGACAGGGGCTTTGTCTCAGACGAACCGCCGGATTCTGCCAGAAGGCCGCTGAAAATGGGACCAAGTCTTCCCAGCAGGTTCTGGGCGCTTTCATGCTAGCCTCGAGGTGGGATGGTTCCCTGTCGTAAAGACCGAAAGTGCACGGTTTCATGTGCCACAACGGGGGTGATTTTGATTTCCCAGGCTGCAATAGACACACCCGGAAATCGGCAGAGTTTCTTAAAATTACCTGCTTTGGCCATTTAAACACTTCCCACCATCTGCCTGAAGCGAGATGGCTTGTTGGTTTTTTCTTTGCGTTCTCCAATTCACATCCATGACTATTGTTTGGTGGGCGTCCCATAAGAGAGAACTGTTTGGTGTGATCCTAGTTGGAAACTGCAGAGTTTTTCATCCGGCAGAGGCTGCATGTTGTTCTTTGAAAAATAATTTGACCCCAAAGTGTAGGAACCAAAATCATTTCAGCGATCAACCCTGGAATGTTTCACTGTATAAGGCAGAGGCTTTGCCCAAACCTCTAAGTGGGTGTTGTAACTGGTTTGCCAGGTTGTCAATTTAAAAATTAAAATAAGCTCAGGTGATATCCCCAACAGCATGCGGTGCTCTTTTTAGTGCTCGCACCAATCAGGAATTGAGACTTAGTGAGCAGGTTATAACCATACAGGGAGTAACCAGGACTAACCCGGGTGACCCGACATGGGTGTGTCTTGTTTTGAAAAACAGGACTTGCCACCCACATATATGGGGGTTGATCTTAGTCCTCCATTTAGGGCCTCCCAGTTTTGACCATGGGTCACTTTTTCCATGTGGGACATATCTGACTTATCATCTTTTTCGCGGTCCAATGGTCCTCCCATGTTCATCGACCGTTTTGATCAACCCATCGCATGCCCAGGTGAAAGGTTTGGACACCCAGCTGCGACACAGCTTCCGGGCGGTGGATCGCAGGCACTTCGCGCGCTCCGAGGTTTGAACACCTCCCACGCCGATTCTCTGAGATTGCGAGCCTTATTGCCGAATGTTCAACTTGAACAACTTGGTGTGGCTCAAAAAACCGGTACCAAAATGGGTTGCCCTGGCAAGTGGAAACATGGACCCAAACCTGCGTATATAACCCCTCCTGTTTCATTTTGAGCCACACCCAAAACTTGGTGTGGGGAAAAAAGCCACGTCCGGGAAAGGCCATGGATTTTGACTCTCTCTGCTGTCATTCTCCGAACATGGGGTTTCCCTTCTTGAAGCTGGCGCGTGACTTTGATCGCAGGCCAAAGGATCTACCCAGAGTCTCCATGACCCCTTAAAAATGGGGTCATTACCCAAAATAATGGGGTGGACCCTATTTTTAAAGGGTCATGGAGACTCCAGGTACCCAGTTTTTGCGGGGCAGATGTACGTTGCGACGCTCAAAGTACTTTTCATGTTGCTGGCTTGCGGTTCCATTGGCGCAGGGCAACCCGCTTCGGCTAAAGCCATGCGTTACCCAGACACCTCCAGAAGAGACCCCGGAGGTGTTCGGGGGTCTCAAAACCTGTTTGGGGGCCCCAAATTTATCGGTAGCAAGATGAGCCACCATACAAAGAGCGGTTCGCATGTGATCAATCCCAACACGTTTTCCTTGAATGGGGGTTCCCTGAAACATTCCGACGCCCGAACACGAGTCACCTGAGAAGTGATTTCGAACCAAAGCCTCTTGTGTCACCATCAGAAACTCCCCTGATCAGAGATTCTTTGAACGGATCCCATTTCTGAGCTGACACAGCCTTAACTTAACGCCATCCCCTCCTGTCACTACCAAAAGCTCTTGACGAACCCTGACCCTCCCCTCGCAACTGCAGAGGCCCTTTGAGACGAACCTGATTGGGAGGAAGCGCATTATTATCTTTCAGGAGAAGTCAATTTGATTGACCACCTAGGACACCCCAGGCGGGAGTTTCCTAAAATGAATTTCAGGCCCCCGGTCATCTCGGGGTTTTAGGCAAACCAAGACTGTGTGGTTCCCAGCCCTCCCCTTTTGCCTCTTAGGCTTTTAGTCGGTTTCGTAGTTGGGTTTCCGAGGTTTTTTCCCCCACTGAAAGCTTGGTACCTGGAGTAGCCATGACCCTTTAAAGATGGGGTCATTACCCAAAATGGGGTCATTGACCCACTTTTAAAGGGTGGAGCGCTTTTCGCGGCTCAGAAAAAGGAGGGCGGAAACAGGCAGCCGCCAGCCGCTCGCCGCTCGCCCTCGAGCCCTCGAGCCCTCGAGCCCTCAAGCCGGCAGGCTGCAGGCGATCTGTGAGCAGCTGGACAAAGAGCTACTGACGCAGAGCGCCCTGCTCAGCGGGCTCTACGTCAACCGCGGAGGTCGCCGCTTCGATTTCGATGTCGGTTGCAAATTGCGATTTCTCCCAGAGACGGATGTGGAGGGGTGGCAGTGTGGGGCTGCAAACGGGTTTCATGTGGTCTCACTTCCAAAGTTTGGGCTTCAACTTTTTGGAGAGGTCGCGTTCCGCGATGCGTTCAGTTTTTCGAGCCGGAAGCGTCTTGTTTCGCTTCGTCTGTGATCCCCCGAGTTTGGGCAAGACAACTTTTTGGAAAGACCATGTTGGTCCGGTAAATGTCAAGTTTGGACTTTGTTTGGCCAATCCGGGACGCGAGTGGTGGAATAAACAATTCAGAGGGCTTCGAAACCCTGAAAAACTGCAACGGCAACTAGTTTCTGTTGGTTCTTTCTATGCTACAGGGCCACCTCTTTGCGACCTCAACTAGACCCTAGCAAGGATGGTTTGACGCCCTCCCGCGGCGGGGTGTCGTTGCTGACAGTTTACAGAAACACAAGAGGGTAACGCAACACAGGCGGGAGGGTTATAGGCGAAAGAATGTGGGAGCTCCGTGTCCGCCTGAGTCAAAACCAGTCCCGCACAGCAGTTGTTCTTTCGGTTCGCTGTTCAAGTGAACCAAAAGGATTCAGCTGGTCTTGACTCCCATGTAGTCGGACGTGAACTTCCGGGTGGTTTTGGGAGGGAGCCCCCCATCCGTTTCCTATCAGTTAGACGGCCCGCTTCGCAAGCTGTGGCTGTGGGTGGAACTTTCAAAGGGTAGCTTTTTGTTTGCCTTGACCAGCAACCCGGAAGAAGTGGCAGCGGTTGCAACACCTGACGGGATGCGGCTTGGCCCCCGAGATTGGGCTCGAACTGGCCGGTCCAAAATGCGGGTTGGCCTTGTTTCGGCTTGCTGAAAAAGCAAAGAAAAGTGAAACCCTCAGTGCGAAGGCACCATTTCTGACTGTGCCATGAGTTGTCCTTTGTTATGATGATGTTTGCGCGAGCGGGCGACAACCCAATGATTTAAAAAAGCTAATTAGCAGGGATACGGCGGAACCAGGGATACGGCATTTTCAGCCATTTGGACAGACCGGGCTTTCTTGCGAATTCCTTCTCATCCCCGCTTGCCCAATCCCACGAGAATTTGCTTTCCAAATGGGTCCAGTTCGAAGGGTCAAGTTTGCACATGGCTTGTACGCAACTCCACTGGATTGCCCATGTTCCAGGCAAAGGGCGTTGGCACTGAAGAACTTAGGGATGTCAGACGACCTGGGACATGAAGAATCCAGACCTACCAACGAAATCAGCGCAGCGAGTGAGCCTTTCGACATGCCAAGGCTTCAGAGAAGGTGTCAAGTAGGTCTTGCCTGTAGATTGGATGGTTGATCACATCTGTGTTGCTGCCTGCTTACTGTAAGATTGCAGTGCAGCCGGCAGAGCCTAGAGGCGGAAGTATTCATCTTTGTCTCTCTTTCTCTCTCTTTCGCCCTCTCTCTCTCGCTCTCGACATCGCTCTCTCTCTCTCTCTCTCTTTGCGAAAGTGCTGCGCTGTCACGAAGTGTGCACCTGACCCTGCGAACGCGCTGCGCTCGTGCCAAGCTCTGTTCCTGACGGTGAACAACATTTGCGCCTGTGACGAAATCTGTACCTGACGGTGTGAAAGCGCCGAGCCTATGCACACGTGACACAGTGCGCGTTCATGCTAATGGGATTTTCAAGGTGCGAGTTGCAACATTGCCAATGCTGCGCCTGTCACGCAATGAGTACACGCCTGCAAAAAATATGCACCTGAAAATCTACACCAGGACGCCGAAGTGTTGTGCCTGTCACGAAGTCTGAGCAGAAATCCAGCAAAGTGCTGTGCCTGCAATATGCTGTGCACCTCAAGCTGGCGAAGTGCGCCTGTCACGCACGCCGCAAAACGCGCATGCGTCCGTGCCAAACAAGTTCCGCACACGTTCCGCGACCGCTTCGACAGGCACCGCGGCTGGAGTAGCTTTCAGCCGAAGCCAAAACCCGCAGGTGCTCGTCGCCATGTCTACTTCCCCGCGGTACCCGCCCACGCTTGTGTTCTCACATGCGTTCAAATATGGGGATGGGTCAAATTACACCACCAGGGGACTGCAGGTTTGAGTCCATGTTTCCACTTACTAGGGTTCCATTTTGGGCGCATATGTTCGACCCACAGCCATATCCTCCTCATCTTATCTTTGTGCAGAGCTGAAGGCGTTGCGACATGGGCCAAACGGCGGGCTTCAGCTCTCTCCAATTCCATCACTACCCACATCAAGGATTTAGACAGAGGCCGGTGCACTCCAATGTTGGTGCGTGACAAACTGGCCTAAACTTGGTAAATCAATTTGGCTTCAGCATTGGTAACATATCTTCGGTAACATATCCACACTTCATTTTTTCACAACCAACTTGACCTAGGTCCAAAACAGAATCAACCCCTCGACTTAAAGCACTTGAATCGCTTAAGCTCCTTGCCGTGGAGCTTTTCTCCGGCTGCTTTCGGGAGGCCTTTTCCAGCGGGAGGGGCGGATCCCGCCGGAATGCTCCTCGCCCGTGCGTTCCTGTGTGCATGTCAAGACCTTTCCACTTGGCCAGCCATGCGGTTCCTTCGCTTTTTAGCCTTTTAACCCACTAGAAGTTAGTCGTTTAGCTTTTAGCCTTTTAGCTTTTTAGGCTTTTTGGCCTTTTTAGTCGTTTGGTGTCCATTTAACCCACTAAAAGTTCGTCACTCGCGGAAAATCTAAAAGCCCAGTCCATGGAACCGGAACAGCCGGCGTTTTGGGAGGAGTCTCCGTTTTTTTTTGGGGCCAGGTGAAATACGAAGGGGTGCCCAACATCTGGGACAAAGTCGGGTGCGGATTCAACCGCGCGAAAACCTCGGAAACTGGTCGCACTCTTGCTGGCATTGCTCTAGCATTGTTCAAACCACGAAATGGGAGTGGGTCCAAAAACAGGTACTCAAAATGGAACCCTGGTAAATGGAAACATGGACTAAAACCTGCGGTCCCCTGGTGCTTTAATTTTGACCCATACCCAAATGAAACCATGGGACACCACGGGTTTTTGGTATTTACAGGGGGTATTTACATGGGTTGAGTCCTTGTCCATTCTTTTCAACGATCGGTCTTAAATTAAAAAAAACAACGATCTTTATTTATCTTTATTTTTTCAGGGTTTTGGGTGGTTTTTGAAGAATAAGGATGCCTGGAAAGACTGGGGAAGGTACCCCTAGAATTGTGGAGAAACTCTTAGACAATGTGTTCGCCGAACATGTTGAAGAGCATCATAGATTGACAGCATGCAAAGTCACGAGAAGTGTACCAGTGTACCAAGAAGAACTGAGTTGGCGCAAGTATAGACAGAATTTAGCAGTTCTGCCCTGCAAATTCGAGCCGTTCTGAAGAGCTCCTAAAAGTACATTTGGGCTTGCTCCACCCAACATGAGTTATGTATGGGTCATTGGGCGGTCGACTATGCATCCATCAGCTCACGTTTACCGTGGTGACATGAAATGGACTTGTCTCTTGATCCGCTTGCCTTGGCTGTCTCGTGTATGTTGTGTCACTTCGTTTTTGTTGTGACCTTGCGCTCTTTTATATGTGTTTTGATATTGTTTTCGCTTTTGCTTGAGGATATGACCATGGGTCAAAACCAATGGTACCATTTTGGGGTGGGTGCACCACCCATTTTAGTCCGTTTTAGTGGGGATTGGGATGTTCACTGGTTGTACGGGATTTTTACCCCATGGCCATGCTTCTTGGCGTGCATTCTTGCTTGCTGGTGGCAGTGGTTGGGTCTGTGCACTGCTCGAGTTGTATGGCAGGCAAATTTCCCAGATCCCGCGTGCGGAGTTGGCATTATGTGGGATTGGCTTTGTTGCATCTTGCCAAGGGATGTTAGGACTGAAAACCTGTTTGCCAAATGAGTTTTCCAATTAAGCCACAACAAGTTATTCACTTTTCGCAGGGGAGCAGAAAGCAACCGAGCATAGTTTGTTCCACTTTGCCCCTTGAGTGTGGTGCGGATCTCCCACCCATTCCCCACAGGAAAGATGCATGTTGGCTGATCATAATTGATTTAAGTACTGGGACCCTTTAGAAAAGAGGGAGTTTGGTTAAACCATCTTTAGACAAGGACTAGGTCCCCCAGGATCGTGCCCTTCTGCCTTTTTTTTGGGGGCAGGGTTCCCCTAAAATAGACAAAGCCGAAAAAAAGGAAGCGGTACCAACTTCTTCTAACCTCTTCAGGTCTGGAGGACCTGGTTAGGAAGGGAATCCAACGCGGCCGGACATACCCCCTCCCAAACTCTTTTGGGGAAAACCGGGTTTTTCTTTGCAAGACACGTGTTTTTCATCGCGAACAAAAAACTGTAGGAACCTTGGGTATAGGGTAGCATTCCTCTCCACCGGACCCAGCGGAGTTGGCACTCGACTTGAGGCTCTTCCAACTGCAGCTTCTTGGGGTCTGCCTTCCTCGCGGACTTTGTGATGCTTTGGCTGTGCAAGCCCCTCGCCGAAGGCGGGGAACCTCGGCGGTTTAGGTCAGGTGTTGAACCCCCCTGAAAAAGCAGGCGAGCAGTGGTAGCATCCCTTTAAAACCCAGCAGGGGAACATACAATTTTAAAGAAGTCGAGTAGTGATAGATTCCTTTTAACCGGCAGGGGAACACAAAGTCATTCTCAAGCAAATGGAAGATCACCTTTGGGCCATGTCAAGAGTGAGCTCCCCTTTTTGAGTGCTGCAAGGGCTACTTGGGGAGCTCTGTGTTTGGCGGGCGGGGTTGGTGTAAAGGCACACCAAAAGGGAAACCCACAGGGGTCCTTCTCGGGTTGCAAAGGGAAACCCACAGGGAAACCACCAAGTTTGGTTCGTTTCCCCGACATGCGACAAATTGATTTCGAGTTCTTTCCAGGCGAACACCGCCCGGAGCCCTTCAAAGCATTGCTGATGAACCTCTTCTACTCCCTTGCCAAGGCGCGGGACCGACCGCAACAGCACCTGGGACGGTTTGGTTTCGTTTCGTTTGGTTGGGCGCTGGAGCAAGTGGGTACCTGGAGTCTCCATGACCCTTTAAAAGTAGGTCCATGACCCCATTTTTTGGGGTAATGACCCCATTTTTTAAGGGTCATGGAAACTCTAGGTATGGGTCAAAACTACACACCGAGTCCATTGAGCCGGGTTACCCTATTTTAAAATCCCCGGGTCCCTTGAGCCATCTCGAGCCCTGAGACATGCGCTCGTTCCTGGAGTTGGTACCCCCGGTTTGTTTTGGTCTAGGGAAACCAAAAGGAAAGCCGAAGCAAATTTTAGAGGTCCCACAAATGTTCGGGGTCCCTGCCCTCGTTTGGGGTCCCACGCCACAAATTCCAGGGGTACCGACAGTAGGGTCAAAGGCGGATTGTTTCGATCCAATGCAGTGGCCATCGCGGATGGCGATGGCCCCGGGCTGACTTCCAGGATTGATTCAGCAATACACGAAGGCTTCATACCAGGGCTACTGAGTCTTCCAGGATCGTGCCCTTTGACCAACTTTTTTTTGGGGAGGGTTCCCCTACGAAAAAAATAGGCGTCCTGAAAAAAGTTGGTACCAACTTCTTCGAACCTCTCTACTGGAGGACCTAGTATGTCTTTCGCCTTTGATTCGATCGCGTCCGCGCAGTGGGAGTTTTGGATTTTGGATCTGGTAGCAGTCGCTGGCCCTTTGGAACCTGCAAAATGATCCAAATGATGTTGAGAATAGAAGGAGAACAGGGGTGCTGCCTCTGGGACCGAAACCTCGCGCCAACGGACCAGTCGTTTTCTGCCGATGCAAGCTGACAAGAATACAAGGAAACTTGTTCGACTGGGAAGGCTCCTGCAACTTCCCTGTCAAAAAGGGGGTGTGCCCCATAGAAGGCCAACAAAATGCCAACGTTTGCCTTAGGGTGCCCTTTTCAACCCCAAAGGAACTAATCCTAGCTGAAACTCTTGTATAGCTCCGAGGGACATAGGGACCGTCAGCTAAACAAATCCGACATCAAGTAGCCAGAGCATTTCTGAAAGTGCTAAGCACCTCAGCTTCCCTTTTCCCGTCTATTGATCGGAGGAGGTGGGTAGATGAGAAGAGAGGAAGGGATGGAGGGAGCGTGAGAGTCATTCATTCTCTATCTCTCCCATACGCTCTCCTATCTATCTCTAAGACTCCGCGCCGTAGCAAAGAGAAAAGAGACAAGAAAAGAGAAAGGGGTACAACTGGGTGTTTGTTTCTTGGGACTGTTTGGTGGACAGTGCGTATTTGGGATGTATGTGGTGTAATGAGAGAAGCGCCACATGGAACCCCGAGAGCCTCATCCGTTGTGGAAACTCAAGCTTTCTGTGATACGGTCCGCCAGCCGCTTGTATTTTTTTTACTTGGAACATGGTGCGTTTCGCAAGGAGACATGACGCGCGATCCTGAACATCAGTTGGATCATTTTGCAGGTTCCAAAGGGCCAGCGACTGCCAGATCCAAAACCCAAAGCTCCCGCGACATGACGCGCGATCTCCAGGTGATTGCAAGCTCCAAAGTGAGCTTGCCTGTGGGGCCAGTGCCGCCGGAAGCTTGGCGAGCCGCCCTTGCCAGCAGCGCCAGCAGTCGACCGATCACGGCGGGTTTCTCCATCCTTTTCCCCGGGGCGTGGTCCCCGAGTTGTTTTTGGGGGGGACCCCTTTCTGGGGTGCTTTGAACAGGGAACTAAAGCATAAAGGAACCATGCTTCTTTTGGAACTTTGGGGGGGCTCTCTTGGAGACAAGCCCATGTCCACCAGAGCTAAACCCAAAAAGCAGGCGTTGCGGTTGCGGAGCCAGGAATTTCGGACCAGACGTGATTGGCATTTCGCCCCAGAAGCCCAAAGCAAAGGAAAGGAATCGGGGACCTTTAACATGGCCGTTTTTGAATGAAACAAAATCGGACATGCCAGGAATTATGTGACTTCTTTGAGATCACGTTAGTCTGAAGGTTCACTAAGTGTAGTAGGATTGACAATATATGGTGGGTTTCATTGCCACTTTTGGAGCTTCCAGGGACCCCTGTGTAAGTGATGCGCGAGTGAGTGTTTCGTGTGCCCAGAATGGCTCGTGTGACTCGTTGACTCCCGATCTCATTGTTCAGTTCACCAAATCCCCTCAGACTGTTTGATGCATATCTTCGCACCTGTCCGAAGTTTTGCTTGCCCATTTCCTGATTTCCTACGAAGAAATCTCCTGCCGTGCCCAAATCGTTCTGTGCCCTTTGCCCCCCGGGGCAAAGAACAGAACCCTCTGCCCTGGGACCAGATCTGGTGTCCATGTCGACACAAATCCCAGGGTCCCCAAAGACTTACTGCATGCCACTTGCTCACTTTCTCAGATCTACACGTGGACGTTATTTTTTGCCGGGGATCAACTGCTGTTTGTTGTTTTAAAGGGAATCCAAATGGAGAACCACACATTTTGGGGGTCCACCCTTGACACAACATTCGCTTGAGAGACGTTGCTGGACTCTCACGCCCACACGGGTAAGTGTCAAAACAGGAGACTCCACCCCCCCTAAAAGAAGCAAGAACACGCCTAAAAATGGGGGTGTCCCTTTGATTTCCCCTGAAAAGACACCCCAATATAAACTCAGTCGTTCAGTGGCACCAATTATTTTCCCCTTTTTTTGGTGGCTTTTTCCCATGAAAACTCCGGTCTTCCCCAAGAAGGGCTCCAACTTTCTGTTTTTCCAGGGTCCCTGAACTGCGCAAATGGTCGCAACCTCGGGAGCTACCTGGATCCAAGGAGATCGCTGGGCACCTGGCGCGCGACGAGAACGCGCGGGTCATGGACTCAGCCGCTCGCTTGGCACAGTCGCGGAGCCGATGGCTGTGGCGCCGGTTTCGGCCCAAGTCGGAAGATCGAAACAGTCGCGCGTTCCCGGGCTACTTGGGGCCGCAAGGAAACTGACCTGGCCAATCCACTCGGAGATGTTTGTTTTCTGTGGCTTAGTTGCTTCTTGAAAGGTGGTGAATTCA